GCACACTATAGAAAATCTTGTCTTTCATGAAAGAGAGAAAAAGGTGAGAAAGCAAATTACACTGAAAGAGTCTTTTCAGACTTAACCTCAAGAGATAATGTTAGACATTGCTACAACACAATGAACACTGGAAATGTGTCAAACTGGCAACAGGTTTTAGCTAGCCTTGCTGTGTGTGGTTGAGGGTCTATGCACAATGCTAACTTCCCCAGCTATAATAACCACATCACATCTGAGTCATTATTTCCTCTCATTGTCAAAAGAGCCACATACTTCAATGCACATCACAGAGAAGCAATGGAAAAAAGGATCCCATTAATACCAACGTCAGTATGTTCACTAATGGCTATCTACCTTCAATTCCATTGCTAGTGGAGGCTCTATAGTGACACAAATCAATACATGCTGTGTTAATGTGTATTTTATTTTAAAAAGCCGTAAAAGCCATTTATCCCCGTGGACATTATGATTGCCTTGAAATTTGATACTCTCACAAAAAAAACAAAACAGCAAAAACATTGGTTTACACAGGTAAAAAGCGAATCAGAAGCTTTCATCTGTTGTTTACGGAGGTCTGTTGTGGTTTATTTGGTTGTAGACTATATCTGAGGTGCAGTTGTTTTATGGTATTGATTAGAGCCCGACCGATATGGTTTTTTGGGGGGCCGATGTCCCCCGATGTAATAAACTTTATTATTCAAAATGAGTCTGACATCAGTGCACTTAACAGTAAACTTCACTTCACTTATTATAAATAGCCTAACTTAAATAACACAAATAGAAAAAAAAATATATAACTTGAATTAAGAAATTAAACAAGGTAACTGTGTAGATGCAATAAAATCGTCTGCGATTTTTTTGCTTAACTTGTCAGTGAACGACGGCTACGTGTAGTAAATTCTGCTCCATCTGAAAGCACGTGATGACTAACTTAAATAACACAAATAGAAAAAAAAATATATAACTTGAATTAAGAAATTAAACAAGGTAACTGTGTAGGGCAAGCAAGCTACTGCCAAACCAACAGGGGCAGGTTTATGCAGGAAGCACAGATTTTCCAAATGTAAACATCTAAAATAGAGATCGAGCGATATATCGATTTACTGGTATTTTTTCTGATATTTAAGCATTTTACAATAATCGGATATCGGTTTTGTAATATCGGATTCACCGATAAACGCCGCCCTCTTGTGGATGTTGTGAGAATTGCGCGCAGGATCACCACTGCAGCGCATCTGAGGGAAACAAGACAACAACAACGGCATGCACGGGTACTTGATTTACTGTAGTTAGTAAACTTTATTTAACATAACAGCCATTAATGCACAAATGAGATTACATAAGTATTACATAAATGCCTGATTAGGGATATGCCGGTATCAAATTTTCATGTTGCGATTAATTGCTAATGCTTTTATCACGGTATGCGGTATTATCACGGTATTGAAATTTAGTTTAAAAAAGTGCTGTCATAATATAGTATAACAGGTTTAATAACATTTTTCTTATAACAAAAATAACTGAACATTTAGCAATAAAGCAATACAGAAAAATGTATAAAGTCAAAAGTTTTACACAGATTAAAGTGCAAAAGAACTATAAAGACCAATAGGTATCACTTTACAATAAGACCTCATTAGTTAACCTTAGTTAATGCATTAACATTCACAATGAGCAATAGCTACATTTGCTACAGAAATTATTAATCTTTGTTTAAAAAATACAAGTCATAGTTCATGTTAGCTCATTAAATAACACAGTTGCAACTTTAGATTTTAACAACCTGTTATTAAATATTGGAATACCTAAGATTAATGAATGTTCAGAAGAATTTTTCATTGGCAGTTTATGTTAACTAATGAATTAACTAATGTTAACTAATGAAGCCCTAATGTAAAGTGTGACCGAACAATAAAGAATCAAAACACTTTCAAATATATGTACTGACCTGTTTTTTTATTTATTCATCAAAAATAAGACAACTTCCATGAAATTCCACGTTATACAGTAAATTCCGTTTTTATGACTGGATTCCGCGATTCCGTCCATGTTTTCTGCATCGCGGAAATCGTAGGGCCCTACTACTGTAGCAAACAAGTATGATAAGCTCATTGTGAGAGTAAAAGACGGGGACATTGTTGTTTATTTACTTAGCATTGAGTCTCTCCAACTAGGTGACAACGTAGCGTTAAATCACCATTCAACAGACACAAGCCACCACCGCACTGCCCTTTGTGTCAGCACGTTAAAAATAGAACGCGGCATCAGTTTTCTGCATCCAGTGTAGACAACATCACTGATTATAATGGGTTCTATTCTACACCGGACGCGAGCGGAGCGATGTGATGTGACCGATGTGATAAGCATGAGTTCTGGGCCGCGGCGCGGCCGGTATAAACACCAGCACTGACTGAGTGGCCGTGATCAGTTCCGGTGGCCGTAACACAGGCTTTAATGCGCCGCAGACGCGTGCCGTGATGCGCAGATCAGCTCTAGTCTCTAACGTCACTGAATCTGCTGTTAAAAATGAGCCATCCATTCAACATATCATCATGTAAAACTAAGAATTAGAATCATTGTAATGTGACGATCAAATATAGGTGCGGGTGGGTGGCGGGCGGGCGGATAATTTGAAGCAGCGGACTCGGCTGAAGTTTGAGCTCATCCGTGCATCTCTACACTACACTGACCTGGGTCACCAGTAGCAGACAATGGAGCGCGCTCTGCTGGACAAACTAAGTAATTACACCATTCAGAAGCATTTAATCTGCGTTATGTTCTGTTAAAAAATAAAATTTCATATCGGCGGCATATTCGCAGATACGATATATCGGCGACAGGCTCATATCGGCCAATAATAGCGGCTAAATTATATATCGGTTGGGCTCTAGTATTGATTTCCCATCACCATGAGACTTATTAAAAAGGTGACAGCATTTCAGTGGGTAAACAGATGGCAAATGACAGTAAGATGAAACTGCAACAAATACAGCTATACAACCAGAATTCAAAGCCAAAACTATCATTATAACTTCTGAAAAATAGATAACTGAATGTCTATGGGGAGATGAGGCAGGAAGTGCTTATTATATGGCCCCCACACACTCCTCAGGGGGTTTGTTTGAATGGGGTTTTGTTTGCCATCAGACATTCTAGTCAGAGCAAAGACTCGATGTCAGTATTTACTCTGTCACAGAGGTGATGGAAAGTGGACAGGTTTGCTCATAGTTTTCTACTGACTCATTCAAGGCATGGAATGGATGATTGTTTCTTAAAAACCCGTAGATGTTTGCTAAAGTTAACTGTGAAAGTGTGGGTGAAACAACAGATACAATGGAGAAAAGATGTCATTTTAAAGCATTTATCTATAATAAGGCTGTTTCTTCCATTCTAACATTCTATGGGGACAATGACGATAAGAATTTGCTAAAATACACTACACCTTTTGGCAAATGCTCATATATGGCATATGGGCTTCAGCAAGCCGCAAGTGACCTCAGTGCTAGACTGTCAGCTGGATTTGTCACAGACTGAGGCCTCTCTGCTGGAAGTACGACACAGCATTTCAATTTTTCCAAAGCATTGTGCAGTCACAATAGAATGATGGTGTCTACAGCACCAGTTTGTACCTCATTAAACATCTGGTTTACACATTTAACTCTCATAAAAATAAATATAGCTACATTTAGGCCACTTTTTTAAAGCAACAAGATCAAAACATTCACTACATTCCCATAAGGAGATGGCAGACAAATTAATGCATATACTGCTGCCCTGTAGCTCGTAGACATCTCTTTGTTCATGTTGTGGTTACGAGTTGCCATATAAATGTGGACTGTTGAAACAGCATGTAAAATTCAAAGTTTCCTATAATTCAAGTTAGACTCTTTAAAAAAAGCATACAAGACAATAAGTATATAAATGCTAGGCTACATTATAAAATATTTTTAATATCCTTGCTGAAAAAGGTATTGAAAAAAAAAAAAGTCTTACTGACCCCAAAACTTTTGAATGGTAGTGCATATATGTATTTTCCTCTTTATATATTATTTTTTGGTATGTTACTAATGAAGTCTTGCCTCTGGGCTCATAAGCTTGTGACAATAAATGTTTCTTATGATAGATGTGGATTTTTGTTTGGCCATTTCATTTGACTCATTACATCATGAGTCATGACTACTGCATGATGTAACTGCAGCGAAACTGAGAAAAGACAATAAAAAACACTTTACAATCACTCCTGTTTAAAATGAACATTGTCTTGATTGAAAAATGTATGTGATATCATGCGTTTTATGAGAACTACATTACAAGCTAATGGCTCCAGCTTAAAAATGACTGAGCCAAAAAAGGAAGTCTATCTAAATAATGATCTCAGACTGTAGGAACTCTACAAATGTTAATGTAATCTTCATAAATATTCAAGCAGTTAATCAAGCAGCTGAAGTTGTGATCGTTACACTTCCTGCACCCTCAGACGGCCTTATTTGTATTCAGAAGCATCATGATTTCAGATTTTAAAAATGATGCATTCCTACATGCTTTTGATCTGAAATAAAATGACTCTCGTTTTGTAATAAGATCAAGGACATTATCAGCTGTTAAGTGTCAGAAATGTGTCACAATAACATCCATGCTCAAATCAATGCCATTCACTGAATGATTGCATGTGTACTGAAACTCCCGTCAACCTTCCTTGAACAATGCAGTACGTCAATAGTTTCAGTCTTTGTCATTGTATGTGGCTGATTTACCAGCCACAAGAAAAACACACAAAGCACATCAGCAACAGCTCACCCCATGTGACTCAGCAGTCAGACGAAACCAGGATGGCCAGTGAACTCATCAGTGGCACTTCAATTCAAACAAATCAGTCAAGCAAAGCAAACAATTCTGAGAGCAGGTGACCCTGTTATCTATCATACCCACTGATCTCAGGCTAAACACAGTTTCAAGCATATTTCTAATATGATAATACAGTTAAATAAGTGAATGCGTACCTTTCTGTACATGGATGATATCAGGGTAATTGGTAAGGTGGCCTTGGTACAGGGCTAACAAATCCATCAATGGGTCCACATCTTGTTTAGGCTGCTCCACAAAGTAGTCTCCAATAGCTTCGTAGGCTTCCCCCGTGTATGCAATTGCTTGGTTCAAACCGACCGAGTACGACTGCTGGTCCATCTCGAACGCTTGGCTTAGATACTTAAAAGACAGTCCCACTTTCTGATACTCTTTCTTAAACCCAGCTATCTGCTTCCTCGCGAACTCGCTGAGTGTGGCATTGACTTGGATTACGCTGTCATCCATTTTCTTGGTGAAGGCCTTGAATCCGTCAATCCTGCTTTCGACGTCTTGCAGGTCAAGAGGGGCTGCTGGAGTGCTGATGGTGAGGAAGAAGTTGGCACCGACCATCTCGTCCTTCTCGGCTTTCCTCTTCCCTTGCTTCCAAGACTTTTCATCCATGCTGGAGCAGGTGAGGAAGTGCTGGAAAACGTCACACCGGGCTAGTACAGGGTGGCTGGTCATATGATTCATCCACCATATCAATCCTCTTCTCCTTTTCGAAATGAAGTCTTCTTCGAAGCGGCCAGTGGCTTGTTTTTCAGGGATGTGCGGCACTGAAATGACAGGAAATTTCTCCACCAATCTGGCGTAGAGCCAATCGAAATGCTTATATCTTCTGTTGACCTGGCTCTGCGTGTGGGTGGACGTCAGCTTGTAGGAAATGTAACTTTTCATGCCTTTGAATTTGGTCTGCTTGGTGGGGTCATCAATAGTGCAAGTGAACGGGTATGGGTTCTCCTGCCACTCCGGACCGTACTGACCTATCACAACGCAGATTTTATCGCCATCCTTCACAAAGCCGGACGCTTCCCCCAGCACAAACGCCTCACCGCCCGACTTCACGAAAGTGGAGAACCTGTTCAGATTTCTGCTGACCGTTGCTGAACTTTTGGCTTGCTGTGCACCTCTAGGCATGGAGGAGGTGGAGATGCTGTAGCCAGAGGGTCCGTTTCCTTCATAATTCCTATATCCTCCACTAACAACCCCTGGTTCATCAGCTACAGATGAGTGATCATCCCAGTCATCATCCCAGTCATCATCACTGGCTGGAGTCCCTGGATGATGTTGTTGTTGTTGCTGAGGTAGTGCAGGGTAGGCTGTGAAGCTGGAAGCTGGTGCAGTGCTGTAGCTCTCTTGAGTCTGATTTTTGAAGTCAAAACCACCAGTGGGAATGTTGGCATATCGAGAGTTGTTGTTAAAAGATGAGACGGTGTCATTCCTCAATATCTCGACGTAGGACGCAGGCAAGAGCCCTCTATCCCCTCTGCTGTTTGTCCCCTCCAGCCAGCCCTCAATGTCCTGCTCGCTGTGCAGAGTTATAATCTCGTGCTCTTTCACCGATATCTCTCCTGGGTTTTCTGAATTAAATTCATACAGTGCTCTCGCTCGCAAAGCCATATTTCCAAGCTGCGATGAATTTAAAAGCGTATAAGGTTAGCGTATCAGCAAGCTAACTCCAACCCAAACTCACTCACTCGCTCGCTCGCTCCTTGACCTGCAATACTGACAATAACTTGCGCGTCTGCTGCGGGAACCGTGACCCACTATCTCCAGTGTCCTCTTCACACTGGTCATACGATAACCTGAAAGTCAATCAGCTGTCGCGCTTAAAAACCTCAGAGCATGAGCAGAAGTCATTTCTTCATCTGTGGAGTTTACCGTCCAGAGCCCCGTTGCTGTGCGCCCGTCCCACACCGACCGCAGTGTACACTCACTCACCCAGAACAGCGCCGAGCGCAAGCAAGCAGTGCGGATAGTCGAGGGCGGAGCTAAGCAGCACCAGGCAGCACGAATCAAATCTAGCATAGTGAAGAGTGACTGATTCACGAGTATCGGTTCTTTTGAACAGTTCTTTACAATGAACTGTTTTAGTGATTCTTTCGCCATTACGTCATCACCTTGGATATTAAATTCTCCCAATTAAATGGCCTAAAAAGCCACGTGTAGTCATATATTGCTGTTCATTACACTTTCCCTCCATGCGTCCTTGTTCTGTTTAGTGCAGCTATGATTCGGCTCAAAAACATGGAGTCATTTAAATGATTTGCCTTTCATGAAACACCAAATTTTTGCAAGCTTTAAAATGCTATTAAAACCAGCGCTGTTTTGTATGCGAATTGACAACATTGTTGTACAATGAAGTTGTAAACACGTTTCCAGTACGTTTTATTTTGTAACATTTTTTACTACTCAACTATTAATTTACCATCTTAATCCATCAGTCAAATCCTCCATTCACTCCAAATCAGACATTATAAATGGTTAGAAAAAAATAGTTATTTTTGTACCTGATTAATTTTTTTAGGTTGCTAACTGGTTAATACCGTAATTATTTCGTTCCCATGTATTTTTTAAATGAAACCAAATAACGTTACATTTCCCAGTAAACATTCAGTATTACGCCACTTCCTGTTTAATTTACCCGCGCGGGTAACATCTTCAGGTTGAATGTGATGACCGTTGAAATTCTCCAAGAAGGCGATGTTGTGGTAAGTTAAAGTTGCATAATTGATCAAATAATAGTAATCCTTCCTTAATCTTTAATTTTGTCTAAAGTACAAAATGTGGTGAAATGAAATGTTCAGGCAACGCCTGCAGCTGTAACGTTATTTGATTCAAGCGCGACTCTTTCATGTCATTGAACATTTATTTTCATTAGCACAGTGCTCCATTTCTTTTGATCAACACCTTTTAGCAGTTTTATTTCGTAACGTAAAATAATGTTCCTGCTTAAAACTAAAAGAAACGGAAATACATTTTGTTTCTAATCCCTGCTTCAGATGGACTGTCAACTCACTTATTAGGAATTGGTCATAGCCAAAATAGATTCTCCTTGTCGATTCAGGCAGATTCATTTAGTGCGGTTTGTGAATTGCTTCAACCGATTTATTAAAAGATCCGATTCAAAAGAAGAAATAGTTCACGATTCGGACATCATGTCGGCGAATCTCTTTCATATAAGCGATTTTTGAGACAGTTTTTCATCTTCTTTATATATGTGCGATTAAAGTGCAGTATGACACAAGAAACATTAAAACTTCTTTAATTAAAGAATAAGTTTGTTTTCTAACAGTATTATGAGGTCATGCCAGCCGGCATGTTTAGTTTTTGTACTAAACAGGTTTGTCAAACAATTCTTAAACGTACAGTAGCGCTGCATTATGGCATTGGCATGCTGGTAAACGTGCTTGCAGAATGACATAATGAGATGTAATCATAAAGTTTAATCACATTCCTGCAAGGGAACTATTATGTACTTGATGCCGATTTTTTATTACTTTAGGTTATATATAGAAATATGAACAGATAAGAGTCTTTTTTACTTATTAGAAAATTTAATTTTTGCCACTAAACATTATGCAGGCAATCAAGCTGATTGTTAAACATCTGGGGACACCCAAAACAAAGCAAAATTGTCATACAACAGCAAAGAATGTGATTACCGGCTAACTGATCACAACAACAGTGTTCAACTAACATGATGAATGGTGTGAAGTCACTGTGTTTTCCTAATCACATGCTGGCCACCATCGGTCCTTGGTCTCCACCACTAGTATCCCATCATGACACAGCATGGCTTTGAGGTCCCCCGCCTGGAGCTGACGGTCAGGCAGCTGATACTGTCTGGTGAAACTCCGTGACACAAACCCATGCTCGTCCATCCTCACCCCATGCCGACCTCTAATAAGCAGCCACCCTTCAAAGACCTGTATGAGGATGTCTTCTGGTTTAAACTGAGTCACGTCCAGCAGGACTTGAAATAATGGCTCTCCTGAATCCTCGTCCGCACTGTCTGCTTCACCCCCCTCAGTGTCCATTTTAACCGGCAGACATTCAGGACCTGGCAGGGCAAACAGTTGATGATCTTCAGTGCATTCAGTGAGATTCCTGGTTTTGAAGTGCTCCTGGTAGCGCACAGGGCTTGCAATCCAGTGGGAAATAGTGATCCCCTCTCCTGCCATGACACTGGGCGCAGAGGTTCCCTTGGCTTTTTGTGTAGTGAATGTGGAGTAGTGCAATGCCAGTAGGACCAACCAAAGCTATTAAAAGACAGTCCTCTGCTTAGGTTTCTGGGCAAGGGATGGGGCGGACCATTTTTAGAGCAGGCAAAGAGAACTGATATCGTCATATTACTGTGTAGGAAGCTTGTACTTAACAAGCATGACGCATTATATTTTTCAAGTTTTTTTCAATTTTTATACAGCAAGAACACAAAAAACTGATAAAAAGTGACAGCAATGCATTATAATGTTACTAAAAGTATCATAGTTTTGACAAAAATATTAAGCAACACAATGGTTTTCAGCATTATTATAATAATAACAATAATACGTTTCTTGAGCGGCACATCAGCATATTACAATCATTTCTGAAGGATCATGTGATGGCTGCAGAAAATTCAGCTTTGCTGTCACAGGAATACATTGTATTATAAAATATATGAAAATAGTAGACATGGACTTTAAAGGATATTGGTATTATTTTTAAGGAGAAAAGAATATTTAAAGGTTAAAGATATCTGCATATGATTTTGGCATGTTGACAAAGGGTATACCATAGTTTTTCTGTGAACTGTGATATTTTACAAACAGATATGAATGATATATCAATGCTGCCACCTTGTGGATGTTTATTATGAGTACATATTAATATTTAAAGGTTAAAGATATCTGCATATGATTTTGGCATGTTGACAAAGGGTATACCATAGTTTTTGTTCTGTGAACTGTGATAGTTTACAAACAGATATGAATGATATATCAATGCTGCCACCTTGTGGATGTTTATTATGAGTACATATAGATGCTGGACATTTGTTTTGCCATAGTTAATTGGTAACAAAGGGCCACTGAAAATTTCAGACTGGCTGAACACATGAGATACATAGGCCTGAATTACAGTTTGTTTATGTCTTTGGATTTGTATGCTTGTTTGGGAGTGTACACTACTGTTCAAATGTTTGGGGTTGTTTATGAAAGAAGTCTTTTTTTTTTGCTTTATCCAAAGCTCCTTCAGAAACCATTCTAATATGCTGGTATGATAATAAGAAAAAGTTGGAAAAAAAAAAACTTATTCTGATTATTATTTTTGGGGAAACCATGATACTTTTTTCAGGCTTGTTTGAATCCAAAATTCATATGAACAGCGTTTATTTGAAATAGAAATGTTTGTAATGTTACTGTATAAAATGTTTTTATTGCCTCTTTTGATCAGTTGAATAAAATTAATTTATTTATGGTCTGATTCTGGTATAGAGGTCAAATAGATACCATAATTACATTTTTATGTGAATGAAAATACTGAAATCAAATGCATGTTCACATAATGGTGAACATTTGAGACCTTAATAAACTGCTGCATTATTTAGACACACCAGCAGCATGCTGTGATAATGTTATCAGCTTTCAACTTGTACTTTTCTAACATTCTTTCTGAGTTTTTATCTCACCGAGGAATTCATAATTATCACTATTATCGTCCTTATGATCATCAGCACTTCCTTTGTTAATAAAGGGAAGAGAGAACTGTTAACACATTCAACATTATTATATGCTGTAGCTCATCAGAACATATAATGTGATTATTTCAGTCAAGCTTAAGTACATTTCTGACATTGCAAATTTTTTTTACAATTATTGTTCTATATAATTTATTGTGTGTTGGTGTGTAAAAGTAACTAATCCAATTAGCAGTTTTATTTTGCAGTACGAGTCACTGAGCTTATAATCTCTTGAGACTGCGCTCTACTAATGCCCTTTAGTTGTTGCCTTTCTCTTCTCGAGTATTTACCCACCTCTAGCTCTTGTTTATTTATGAATGGGGAATAAACAAACCTGTTCCCTTTTTTCTCCCTCCTTTTATTTGAGGAAGAACCATTGATTCTCTGTCTTCGTATAGTGTCTTTCTGTGTTCCCTCTTCAAAGCCGTCCTCCTCCTGTCCTCATCCAGTTACTCTGGCTCGGCTTGTTTGTTGTCTGGGGTAACGCTGTTGCTGGGGACGATGTCAGAACACATTCAGCTCTCAATAGCCCTGTGTAGGATTGGCTTTTACACGGTAAGCCGAGCAAATGTCTCCATGTTTTGCTGTACATTTTATGCATGCACCAGTTGGTGCCTTTTCTTTGATTTTAGTTATTTCGATGTTCGTCCAAACTTATTTTGGTGGAATTATGTTGTGTAATATGCAACAGGCTACCTGAAGCCACAGGTGTCCATAGTCAACAATATACACAATACGAACACTATAGTAGTTTTCACATGTAGATCTACATGTATGGTTACAGTAGCTGGAGTCATGTTCGACAGCTTTCATGAGCTGGTTGCAGTTAAAAAATGATTAAACTGTGGTGAATGTAAGTGTGTGTTCATCCCCAGGGAGTAGTGTGGCAGGTGTTTTCGGCAGTTAACCCCCAGGTTAACTTTTGTGCTTTTATATTAGAAGTCACAGAGGAACCTTATATGGTAGAAAAAAAAACAAATTCTAATCCTATTGTAAAATGTTTTTTGTTATGACTTGAGGTCTTTCAGCATTTATCTAGTCTTCCAGTTTAAGTTACCTACTACTGAGATGTGCCGTATTGTTCCGTTTTGTTTAACTCGTAGAAAAAAAAGTAACTTCTGTTGGATTATGTCTTTTAAACTTCACGTTATTAACATGAAAGGATGTGGGCACAGGGATATTTATGTGATACCTGGCAGCAGCAATGGTACATGATGATCTGCTTTGGTGAAGATGGTCACACCCTCACATAAATTATGTATATTGTATATAATATTAAATATCCTATCAGTTAGTTTTAATGCCCTACCTAGGGCTGGGCGATATAGCAAAAAAATTGAGCAACGATAAAATGTTTCATATCGTTCGGTATCGATAATTATTGACATTTTTTATAACCTTTTGTAAAACAGAGCAATAGAATTTTTTTTTTTTTTAATTTAACTACTGTATTTTAAAATTTACCCAATTGAGTTATTTATTGAGACAAGCAACAAATATTTTTTTGTTTCAACAGTCAAACACACAATAAAAATTAAACAAATATCTAATTTCTACACCTAATCAAGATCTCCGCATTGAGGTTCTATATTTCTCTAATATTTATATTTTGAATGCATAACACAGCAGTGGCGTATCTCGTGGGCTAGACTAACAAAACATTAAAATGCAACAACGTCATTTACATCATCACCGCATCTCGCGCGCCACTGATGACGCTCCCTGATGCACTCCTAACATTCAAATGCAAATGTTTACTTTAAATTAGACTAGTATTCATTTTTTTTATTCACAATCTCCTCATCACAGGCAGGCACAGCACTCATGTTCATGTTTGTGTGTGCTGTCTGCGTGATGTATAGCACGTGCCTATATCGAACATTTTTATATCGTTATCGTAGAAGGTGTACCGTCGATAAATATCGATACCGTTTTATCGCCCAGGCCTAGCCCTACCGTTCAAAAGTTTTGATTCAGTAATTTTTTTTT